CACACACACACACACACACACACACACACACACACACACACACACACTTGCATGGACAAGGACACCTCCCCCACAGCACTTCAAAAGAATGAGTTTTACCACTGAAGAAGACTGCATGGAAAATGAGAGGTCCTGAATAGCAGTTGAGATGTGACAACAATTGAGAAGGGGTGTTAGGTATGACTTTTTTTTTCTTTCTAGGTCATTCTTACGTGGGTAGATGGCTTCTCTGTGCACACTCCTGCAAGTAGGCACCAGTGGAAAGATGCAGAGAAGTTTTCTGGATAATTAACACTTCCCCCAATCAGCATGTCTTCCTTCCTTTCAGCAGTTACAGAAGCTTTACTCCTTGTTTACTAGCGTCCTGTAGTGCTTGATTGATGGCTTGCCCTCTGAGCCCGCAGATGCTGTTGGAAGCCTGTGAATCAGGCTAATTGTTCAGTGCTGTAGGAAATATTCCCAACACCCCGACCTCATAGCTGTCTGCCTAGGGAGGTCTTCAGATAGGGCTGGTACTGCAGAATATCATGTTCAAGGTTTAGCTTTGACTGATAGATTTTTCTTGAGCTGGTGTACTAATGCCCCCAATAGCACACTTAGACAATCATTTTTCTGGCTTGCAAATAGCATTTTAAAACCACTTGCGAATAATTGGAGAATCATAAAATTATGTCCCCCCCTAAGATGGAGTTTTTAGGACAGCTTTAAATGTGACAGACGCTCCATACCCATCTCCTCTCCGGCTCTGGGGAAAAGTTCAAAGACCAGAAATTTCGGGCACAGCCTGTTCTTTCATGGAATAGGAGGCTTTATCCTCCAGTCTTCTTCTTCTGTCTGGGGTCCTTTTAAAAAACCCAATTTAAACTAAGCATGGTGGCACATGCCCTTAATGCCAGCACTCCAGAGACAGAGACAGGCAGATCTCTGAGTTTGAGGCCAGCCTGGTCTCCAGAGGAAGTTCAAGGGCAGCCAGGGCTACACAGAAAAACTCTGCTTTGCAGAATAAAACAAACAACAACGAAAAGGGAAACCCCAATCAATGTCAGCAGTTGTCCTATCGTATGTGGACATGGACTTGCTGCCTGACAAGATCAGCATCATGTTTCTGCCTCCTCCTGGGATATTGTATTATTCCAGCTGTAAGTGCCAAATCCTTTCCATTCTACACGAAATGTCTCCCTTGCTTGCTTTCATGTATGTTTTATGAGAACGCTTTGGCATGAATAATTTATTCAAGCAGCTTGGAACCTCTCCCTCTCTTTCTCTCTCTCCTTCTCTTCCTCCTCTTCCTCATGGTTCTGACTCATGAAAAAAGTCGACATTTGCCTACAGTGGCTTCGGCCTCTTTCCTCCGTCTCACAAGGTCACATAGCTGAGTCATCAACTGAATGGAAAGCATTGCCTGGGTTTGCATCAGCTGGCAGCAGGACACAGACGTTGCACTGATGAAACAGCTCTGTTTGGCACCGTCAGCCTTGCCAGTTTATCAGTGTCATCCAGCCATTGTCTGCTTTTAGTCCTTGTTTAGTGACTGCCCTGGCCAACTCCAAATCCACTTTGCTCCTACTAGGAATGAGAGCTCCCCCCCTCCCCCACCTCAAGCTCGAACTCTTTAATTTTGTGTGTGTGTGTGTTATGTGCCCATGTGTGTGCTTGTTCATGCGTATGAGTGTGTATACATGTAACACAGTGTATGCATGTAGGTCAGAGGACAACCTCAGGTTGTCTTTGTCTTCTCCCTTGTTTGGGACGAGCTCTCCTCATTGCTCACAGCTAAGTAAGCAGTGAGTTTCTTGGTACTTGCTTGTCTCCACCTCCCATTTCACCATAGGAGTCCTGCAATTACAGAATCATGCTACCAGGCTCAGCTTTTGTTTTGGTTTTAGGCATTCAAACTCAGATCCTCATACTTGCATAGCAAAAGGTTTACCAGCTGAGCCATCTCCCCAGTCCAACCCTCCCCATGCAGACAGAAGTGCATGTAGAAACAAGGATTTCCATCAGCTACTTTCAACATAAGATTCGAATGACACCGTCAAATAGCCTGTATACTTGTGCCTTCTGACTTTTGCCTGTATCCTACTTAATTCTTTAATTTACTCAATAGTAACGGTTGTTGCTATTATTGTTATCACTGGTAGTTTTAAAGTGTGAAAAGGGTTTCTGGAAGGAATAGGCACTGGTTGGGTGCGTGCATTTGTATATGTGCATATGTATATGAGTCTCACAGTCAGTAAGTAGGCCAGGCTAACTGGCCATGGAGCCCCCAGGGACTGCCTGTCTCTACTTCCCCACCACTGGGATTGTACATCACTGTGCCCGCCCTTTTCGGTGTATTCTAGGGCTTCAACTCAGCACAGCAAGCACATTACCAGTTGAGTCATCTCCCAGTCCCATAGGAAAGTTTTTTTTTTAAATATGATTTTCCACACACCCTCCAAAGATGAAACAATGATAGGTTGATCTTTATTAATATCTTCTACTGTTTGACAGACGTTGATTTAAAAAAAAAAAACATGGAAAAACAAGTCACAGACTGGGAAAATATTTGCAAAGCATATATTTATATATACAATGAAAAGCTTGTATTTAGGTTATATGAATGACTCTCAAAGTGCAATGATAAGAATTCAAACAACCCAATTAAAAACACATAAAGGATTTGAACAGATACTTAGCAAGAATACATGTAGAACACAAATAATTGCATGAAGAGATGCTGAGCCTCATTTGTCTTTTCAGAAGAAGAAATTAAAATCACCATGGATACCAGGATATTCCCAGAGTGGCCAAAATGATACCAATTCATTACAAATGTGGAGCATCCGGACTCCTGCACTGAGGGTGGAAAGGGAAATAGCACAAGTGTTATACTGAACACATCTGCCAGTTTCTTGAAAAGCTAAACTGATGCCTGCCATGCAAGGCGATGGCTCCACTTTCAGGAACACCTCCCGGAGAAATAAAAGGAACATTCATAACAACTTTACATGGAATAAGAAAAATTGAAACAGGAACTCCACAAGGAGAGCAACAGAACCAAAAACTCTGGTCCCAGAGGTCTTTTCTGAGACTGATACTACAACCAAGGACCATGCATAAAGATAACTTAGAACCCTGCACAGATGTAGCCCATAGCAGCTCAGTATCCAAGTGAGTTCCCTAGTAAGGGGAACAGAGGCTGTCTCTGACATGAACTCAGTGGTTGGCTCTTTGAACCCCTCCCTCCCCCAGGGGGGAGCAGGCCACAGAAGAAGACAATGTAGCCAGTCCAGATGAGACCTGGTAGGCTAGGGTCAGATGGAAGGGGAGGAGGACCTCCCCTATCAGTGGACTTGGAGAGGGGCATGAGAGGAGCTGAGGAGGGAGGGTGGGGTTGGGAGGGAACGAGGGGCTACAGCTGGGGTACAAAGTGAATAAACTTTAATTAATATAAAAACTGTAATATAAAAAATTAAAATTAAAAAAATAAAATAAAACACCAGCAACTTGTGTTGCAATTCTTAAAAAAAAAAAAGAAAAAAAAATTGGAACCCATGGCAATGCTCATGAATAGATAAACAAATTATATGGATATAAATGAAACACTACTTAGCAATAAAAGTGATAACCAACTGGTGTCCCAACAAAACAACTGAATCTCTTAATAATTTCAGCTCACTTAATAATTTCAGTATATGAAGGAATCTAGCTGGAGAAAAATGGGGGGGGGGAGTGAATAAGACTTTATTCATATAAATTTATAGAAAATAATTAATATAAAGGACAGAGGACAATCAGCAGTGGCAGTATACCAAGTTGGGTAGGGATAGAATAAGATTACAAAGAAGATATAGGAGGAAATGTTAAGGTGAGAGATACATGCATCCTCTTGATTTGGTAGTAGGTTCACAGTGGGTACTTATGTCAAAACTTATACAATTATATACCTTAAATATGTAAATAAAGCTACCTATAAAGTATGTATGTATATATCCACTATTGACTCATTATCCATATGATTTTTTCCCCTGTGGCTCAGGATGGGCTCCAATTCAAAATCATCCTGCCTTAGCTTCCCAAGTGCTAGGATTCTATGTATTGTGTAACCATGCCTGGCCAAATACTTCTTTTGTGGTTATTTTTCTGTTGTTGAAAATCACGGAGATCAGCTGGGAGGTGGTGGTGCATGCCTTTGACCCCAGCACTAAGGAGGCACAGGCAGGTGGATCTCTGTGAGTTTGAGGCCAGCCTGGTCTGTAAAGTGATTTCCAGGACAGTTAAGGCTACACAGAGAAGCCCTGACTCGGGGGGGGGGGAGGGGAAGGAAAAGAAAATCATGGAAACCAGGAACAGAAAGATCATTATTCTATTTTGGCTTTCCTTCTACTTCAATTTCCTAGAAAATAGGAAAGATCAGAGTACCTACCTGTAGTAGATCAAATTTGCACCCCCCTCTTATTTGTCCATATACTAATCTCTCAAGTATTCATGAGGCCTAGTAAACACACACACACAGTCATTGAAGATGTGATTAAGGATTTTCATATAAGAATATCATTCTGCATTATTCTTGTGAACCCTAAATCCAATTATAAGTATCCTAAATAACAATCAGTGACATCAAGTCAAGCTCCAGGAGTTAGAGAGAACCTTGTTAGAGACTTAGGAATTGCAATTCAGGAGATACAGATTCAAACAGCCTTGCATTGGTTCCAAAGGCAGTAGAAAAGTAGGAGTATTTGTGCGTCATAATTGCCGATTTACTGCCAAGCAGCAAGCAATCACTGAATCATTGAGTCAGCTTCTGTTGAAGCTGAGAAAGAGCAGGAGCTATGTGGCATGTGCTACATAGCTTATTAACAATAGGAAAATATATACACATCCACACAAGTCTCAGAAGCAATATGCCATCAGATGACCATAGCTAAAAACTGACCCTAAGCCAAAGGTTGTTTTCCTAGGCAGTGAGGTGAACTCAAGTCCTGTTTCCTTAAAGGAATTTGCACTCTGTTTTGAGAACCTCATTTAATTTTTACTTTATTCTGAGAAAAGTATAGAGATATTTGCAGCAAACAGAAAAGAGGTTATCCCAGACAAAGAAGAAAATCTTTGTTGACAGACTCTGTTGACATGGAATGCTGACAGAATAAATTTCTGATTTTTTTTTTTTTTTTTTTTTGAGACAGGATTTCTTTGTGCAGCCCTGGCTGTCCTGGAACTAGGTCTGCAGATCAGGTTGGCCTCCACCTCTGCCTCTCAGGTTGCTGGAATTAAAGACATATGCCACCACCGCCTGGCATAATTTCCATTGTTTTATACACTAAACGTGTGGCAGTTTGATTGGAAACTAGTTCGCAACTTCATACAGCACTGAGGTGGAGTTGAGTGTTATGTTAATTGTTATGTTTCTCTGCGAATTAAGTGTGTTGGCATACAGGAGAGCCATACATAGTAAGCACAAGAGAAACAGTGAAAAGATTTCCCATGCCAGTGCCCCTGGTTCTTGGCGGTTTTGCTTTTCTGGAGTGTGACTAGTGGGCTGGAAACCATACTGTGGGAGGGTCTTGTAAATTTATGCAATTAAAACATAATGAGTATGTCAAGAAGAACAGAATATTCAGTTAGGTCCAGAAGGTTCAATGGAGCCTGTGAGTTCTAGAAAAGGAATTCTGCAATTCTCAACATACGTGTCTTTTGCTTCTCTATTAGTTGTTTCTATAAATCCTTTATTCTAACCCCACTTAGAACAGAATGCCCGAAACAACGGGCTCTCAGGAGAAAAACACTCCCGCTGTCTTTTTGAGCCTAGAGGGGGTCATAGAACAGAAGTCCCAAGCTTCGTCTTCAAAAACTGCGACTCCCAGAAGCCTTTGGGTAGCAGGCTTGCAGACAAGCCTTAGACAAGGGGTGGAGTGGAGAGAGAAGCCGTTGGTCTATTCCATTGTCCTGAGCGGAGGGACCACCTGCGCGGAGGTGGACGGATCCGTGACTTGATTGGCGGTAACTAGAAAGGGCGTTCCCCCTCGTGATTGGTATGGTCCTCGGGGGGCGGAGACTCCATGGCGGCCTCTCCAATTTCCCGGGTTGGGCGCGCGGGGTCTGCCGGGAAGCTCTCGGGACGGTTACCCACCGGGCCAGCAGCAGTCCGGAGTGGAGTTTCGACATGCAGAGCACTGACCTGGGCAACAAGGAGAGCGGCAAGATATGGCACCGCAAGCCATCGCCGGCTACTCACGACGGGTGAGGCCGCGGGCTGTGGAGACCGGCGAGGGGGCGGGTCAGCGGGAGGCTGAGAGGCGAAGCATGGCGGAGGGATGCCGGCCCCGGGGTCCTGACACTGGCCGTGCACTGGCTCCCTCGGTTGGGACCTCAGGAGGAGCAAATAGCTCCGGAAGCTGTGGATTGCAGTGGCGTCCCAGGTCCTGGTCCCAAGTCCCAGGGGCACGGGGGGCGGGGGTTGTCAAGAGAAGCCTCTACTATTTATGCAAAAGAATTTGCAGTTCTCCCGAGTGCCAGGACTCCCCCTTGCCTTGCTTTATTAGTGACTATTCCAGTTGGAAAAAGACTCCAGGAGCAAATTCTCAACATACGTGTTGGGAGCAAAGGCAATCCACAGCTACCTCTTCCAAAGCCGAAGCTCCCCCTCCTTAAGTCATTGCTCACATCTGTAACATTGAGAGCTTAACGTGGGCCAAACACGGTTCTAAGCACTGTGGGACGGAACAAACTTACATTCTGCAGTTTGCACAGAGGGGTGTATTTTGCGGGGGCTGTCAACGATGAAGAGGCTGCCACACCGCAGCCTGCGCTTCTTTTCATTCATTCGAGTAGTGCGCTGCGTTTGAGACCCAACCTCTTGTGTGACGTCAGCGGGAGTCCTTGCCGCCCCGTAAACGTTTGTTTTGGTTCCCATAGTGCATGCCATGGTGATCTTGGTGTTTCTGATTCCCTGGGCTTGCATGGACTTCATGGCATCACTTGGGTTCATGTCGAAGTTTGTTTCTGTAGAGACTTTTCTGTTTATGTTTCAGTTGCTTCGCCAGAAATCAAACTTAAATGTTTTTGTAGGCTGAAAGTGCAGTTATTAGTGGATCAGCCACTTTATGTGACCAGCCAGCCACGGTACTTTCTGGTGACTGTCTATCCTCTATCAATGCTATTGACCCACTGACCTTTTGAATAAACAGTTTTGTCAGTAGTGGAGATTCTACAGCGTTTTTATTTCCAAATGTGGAGTTTGTATAAGTAGCACTCTCTACCGTTGGCTCCTCTAAAAGGTCTATGAATGGGAGGCAGCCTACCATTTCTTGCTGTTACAGAGTATCTAGATAGATATGTAAGATTAAAAAAAAAAAAAAGAGCGGGTTTCTTATTATGTACTTCTACCAAAGTACAGCTTTATTTTTGTTCATTTAAATCCACTGTTGAGCGAGGGAGATGGCTTAGTAGGTAAAGATGCTTGCTCTATAAGCCTGGCTACCTGAATTTAATCTCCAGAGCTCACATCTTCCGGTCTGTCTCTGTGATAAAACCCTGGCCCAAAGCAACCTAGGACCGGGAAGGATTTATTTGTCTTTCATTTCCAGGTCACAGCCCATCACTGAATGAAGTCAGGGCAGAAACCTGGAGCAGTGAGGGAACACTGCTTGCTGGCTGGCTTTCTGGGTTATGCTTAGGTAGCTTATGGACACGCAGCTCAGGATTAGCTGCCCAGGGAATGGTGCCACCCAGTCAAGACAGTCTGCACTGACAAGCCACAGGCCAGGCTAATCTAGGCACTTCCTCAGCTGGGACTCTGCTCCTAGATGACCCCAGACTTGTGTCAAATCAACACAAGTCGATTAAATTAAAACAGAATAGGGTGCCACAACCCCAAAAAGTTATCCTCGACCCCCACATGTACTACATGGTTCACATGCAGTACACATTGATAATAAATACATTTTTAATTATAAAAAAATGGCTATGTTGAGAAAAACAAAAATGAGCCAGATTTATTGAAGAAAGTGCAAGTTTATCAGCCCGTATTCTTGGAGCAGATAATCAGTCACTAGCTGATTTCTACTCTACAATAACCACTTCTGTTGTTTTTTTTTTTTTTTTTTTTTTTGTTTTTTTTGTTTTTTTGGTTACATTTATCTATCTATCTATCTATTGTGTATGCATGGAGGTCAGAGGATGACTTTGGGGAGCTGAGTCTCTCCTCCCACTGTGAATGGAGGGTTCTGGGGATTGAACTTAGGTCATTAGGCATCTCAGAAAGCACCTTTACTGGCTTGAGCCATCAAGACAGCCACTTTGGTTTTTTTGAAACAAGGTCTCATTTTTTAGCTCAAGCTGGGTAGGAATTTGTGATCCTTCTGCCTTGGGCCTCCAGAGTGCTAGGATCAAAGGCCCTTACTGCCATGCCTGGCTATTTTTAATATTGTGAACAATCACCATTTTTTATTTTAATTTTTGTTACCAAACTGTAATGTTACAGAAAAATAAAAGGCACCCTGAGAGGGAAAAGTTCCATATTGTGTCTGAGTTTAGTTTTGTCTGTGTGTGTTTCTATGTCTGTATGTGTATGTGTTCATGTGTGTATATGCAGGTATGCTTGTGAAGGCCAGAGAGCAGCAGGGGTCTTCCTTAATTCCTCACCACTTTAGTTTTGGAGACATGAACTTTGAACTTGGTGCTCGTTGATTTAGCTAGACTGGCTGGCCAATGAATTCCAGAGCGCTGTCTCAGCTCCCCCTCACTGGGGTCGCAGCTGTGGGCCACTATGTCCAGCTTTCACGGGTGCCAATGAGCCAAAGCCAGGCTCTCATGCGTATGCAGTAGGCACTAGACTGACGGAGCATCAGCCCCAGAGATGCTTTGATGTTTTTTTTGCAGGGTCATTTTAGTTATTTCCTTATTTATTTCTATTATTTCCTTCTGGCCCCAAACTCACCATGTAGCTGAGAATGACTTTACACTTGTGATCCTCCTGCCTCCACATCAAGTGCTAGGATTATAGATGCGCATCACACTTGACTTAATTTTTCTATTTTCAACATCATGAAACTATGTAAAAACAAGCATTGTAAGATTTTTTTTCTATGTCCCTAATCGATCTAAAACGCTCTATTTAGATAACATAAAGAAAAATACTATTTTTCACTGCTGAGTATTTAACCTAGGGCCTTGTACATATTAAACAAGTGCTTTACCAGTGAGCCCTTGAAGGAAATGTGTAATCCTCTTATCAATGTAGCACGCTTCCGTAAGGTTTTTAAAAATGAGATTTTAATTTGGAATATTAAAACTCATATACAAGGGAATGGAGAGATGGCTCAGGGCTTAAGTGTATTGGGTGCTCTTGCAGAGGACCCAGGTTTAATTTTCAGTACCCACTTGGTACTTCACAGCCAACTGTAATTCCAGTCCCAGGGGAACCTCACACCCTCTTCTGGGCTCCACAGGCATCAGGCATGGGCAGGGTACACAGGCATGCATTCAGTCGAAAGACCTACATACATAAAACAAATTTTTAAAAGATTCGTACGCAAAAGATAAAATTTTCATGATTAAATGCTATTCTTGAAATAAGGAAAGGGCTAGCCAGGGGGCTTAGAAGGTAAGGGAGCTTGCCGCCAAGTTGACCTCTTGAGCCTAATCCCTGGGAACCTTATGGTATGAAGGCACGGACTCCTATAAGTTGTCCTGTTACCGCCACATGCCAGGCGTGTGCGAGTGTGTCATGCATACACACAAAATAATTTTAAACAGAATGGGATTGTACTGGTCTTCAAGACCAGAATGACTATGCGTGCTCCCCCCCCACCCCTTGTTTTTTGAGCTATGATCCCACTGTATATTCCAAGCTGGGTTCACACTCTCAGTCCTCCTGCTTCTGCCTCCTGAGTCCTGAGATATCGGTGTGCATCACTGTGCAGCCCTATATATCAAAGAATCATTTTGTGCGACAAGGTTTTGTTTGTTTGTTTGTTTCCTTCTGTTTATTGTTTGTTGTTTGTTTTATATTTGGCTTGTGTATGTTATGCCATATTTGTGGAGGTTGGAGGATAACTTGTGGATATCATTTCATCTCCTTCCATCATGTGGGCCTAGGGGATCAAACTCAGGTCACCAGGCTTGATGGCAAGCATCTTTGTCTGCTGTGCCGTCCGTCCCTCAGGCTCGGTGCTATAAGTTTTAGAAACAGTTTTTCAGCAGATGTGTGGCACAAGAAACCTCCTCCCAAAATAGTAAATTTAGACAAGCATTGCTGTACATTTTTTTTACAGAGCTTGCCCATGAGAGGAGTATATGATTGCTAGCAAATGTGTATCAAATATAGAAAAGTAGAGTAGGAGGAAGTCACCCGTGTTACTGTTCTCTGTGCAGAGCTAGCAGTATTTATGTGTTATCCCTTTTCCCTATGTGTACCTTTTCTTTTGCATTTTTATTTTAACTGAATGTTTGTGTTTGCATATTTCTGTATGAGTAATTTAAATCCCAAGGCTAAGATGTTTGAATTTTCACGCGGCTTTAGTGCATGCTGTATGCTTCTATAGGATAACACTGGAAGAGTAAACTCATTTCTTAATGTGGAAATAGAAGCGTGACTCGTGGGAAATTTGAAACAGTGACTTACAGCTCTTCACAGGCATAGTATGAGTGTTGTGTGCTGTAGATAAGTCGTGGGAATACAGCCATGAACAAGTAATCCTTAGAGCACACACTTGCAGAGGTGGTTTAGGTCTCTGAGAGGCAGAGATACGCTCATGCTTTGTGGAACATTTTCTATTACAGAAACAAAGTCTTATACCCTGTTGCCTAGTCATAGGGTAAGCTGTTTCTACGTATCTTTTTACTGTCTGTCTTTGCTACTAAACTGTAAGTGACAGGATGGCAGGAACCTTGTCTCTCAGTTATTCCTAGTGTCTGGTTTTGTCACTTCAGACATGTAGTAAGTTTTCTAGTATTTAATGAATAAATGAATGTTAAACACATCTTTCATAATGAATGGCTTTCTGAACTATTTGGAAATCCTTACAAGAACGATTGTAGGGAAGGAACAGCAACAGGAAGAATGAGCCTGCAGAAAGCCTTCAATAGAAGCCTATACATAAAAGCAAGTGTGTGATGTGAAATGTAACATTTAGATTGTTGTTTTGACAGAATTATAGTGAACATTGTTCACAGCACTTCTGAATACCATCCAAAAGTTTTGCGGTTTTTGAGTGTGGCTTTTGATGGCTCAGGCGATTCCTTTATTGCTGGGGACCATCTGGGAAACATCTATACTTTTGACTTGCATGGAAACAGGTAAGCAGATGGTTTCACTGTGTACCTTACTATTTGGGAGGTTACTGACCATTGACTAGTTGCAGTTACTTAACGGTGATTTGCAAAGCACTATTAAGTTCTTAGAATGCTGCTTTAAGTGCTGGTGGAAGAATGGAGGAAAGGAATAGCGGACTGCTTCTACAGGGTCACTGGTAGCTCTGACTTTCTTTTTGAGGCCAGGTTGGCCTTGACATTGCAGTAGTCGTACCTCAGCCTCCTCGTTGCTGGGAGCCACCATTCCTGACTCTTAGTTTTTTCTTTTCATTAAGAATTGTCTGTTGCACCGATGTGTTTTGTGTGTGTCTATATGTGTGTGCACGTGCATGCCACAGCTCACATGTGCAGGTCAAAGGATGACTTTCAAGAACTGATCATCACTTTCTGCCATTTGGGTCCCAGGGATTGAAATCATGTCGGTTGGGGTTTGTGGCAAGCACCTTTACCCTCTGAGATACCTTTGCCAGCCCTGCTTGCTTTCTTTTAAACTTAAATTTTCCTCACTGCTAATTTATTATTAAGTTCTGGTACTTCATTAAGTAATTTAGAAACCTGGTTTCCATTGAGCATTTTTATCATGGTGTACCAGATCTAAGAACCACAAAGAGTTAGAGTCATCCTCCTTCCTCATCCAGTTGGTCCAGAAACAGTTAAGTAGAATTGATCACTAAGTATCCATGAGGCAAGGCCATGAGGTAAGATGGGAAGTGAATGACCAGCAACAGCCAGAGGATGTCTGCATGGGGCAAGTGTCAGTGATGGGGACTTAGCTTAGAAAGCCTTGTCCAAATAAGAAAACACTGGGAAAATAAGACCCGGTTCCTGCTGGACGAGGACTCCACGCAAGGAAAGGAAGAAAGCTCGAGTGAACCCTTTGGTTTAGATTAAAATTGGTCTTATCAGCATAAACTCTGGGTTTGGGTATCTGAGTAGAGATAGAAATAAACACAGACATCTGTGTGAGAGTGAGCACATTACACATACACACCTTCTCTAGTGTTTTCCACTCAGAGCTCCAGAACAATGTGCCAGGAGCGGGGAATATGCTTTAGATTCCAAGAACTATTCCTTGATGAGACAAACCAGAGATCCTTGCAGAAATGGCCACTTTCAGAATAGGGGCAGGCATGGTACAGGCTGAGCCTGTAACATTTCATAGATAGAAAAATTATCTAGAGGACAATAAGAATGTGTCAGGACACAGAAGCCAGCTTGAAGGAGTTCCCATGGTGGAGATAATTTGAGCATGAAAGTAATGGGTCATACTCTCTGATGCAGTCACAATCCATGTGGTTTAATGCGGGCTGGAATATGGCACAGTCAGAAATCTTTCTCCCCACAAAATTCTTTTCTTTATTTATTTTATCTTCCAGTACTGGGGCTTTGAACTCAGGGTTTTACATGGGTAAGCATTCTGCCAATGAGATATCCCCAGCCTCACTTGAAAATTCTTAATTGTAGAAAAAAACACAATAATGGCTAAAATTATAAGGCCTGCCACACACTGTGTAAATCAAATGATTAAAGTTAATAGAACCAGTAAAAGTCTTTGTGACCAGATGCAGTAAAAAACATACAGTTCGGTGTAGTTCCTGCCAAAGACAGAACCCAGATGCAGCCAGATGGAGTCATGCAAGAGCTGGTAGGGGCATTCGCTAACAAAGCTGTCCTGTAACTGTCACAGAGGCCATAGTCGAATGTCGGGAAAGGCAGAACTTCCAGATGGAGGGAGAGGGAAGAGACGTGTCTGAGGCAGGAATCTGCACCATCCTCCTCCTGTCACACCTGCTATGAGACAACTGGCAGGATGCAGAAGGACTTTGACGACTGGGTGTAGAAATGGCAGGAACATGGTCTTGGTGACTTACTCTTGCATAGTTGGGGGGGAAAAGTCACAGATTTGTCTGCAGTCTGTTAGAAATCCACTAGCTGTTGCTTCTGCTCCTCACTTAAAATAGCGAGGAAGGCAGCCTTCCCATCCTCACTCTTGCTCACACATCTTACCTGTTTCACCGTGAGTTGCTGCATCTGTCTCCTGTTTCTATTGCTGCACAACAGGGTACTTGTTGGTGGCCCATCACACAATAACACGTTTTAATCTCAGCGATCCTCTGGTTCCTCAACCTTTGCTCCTTTGCCATTCTCCAGCAACTGCTGCAAAAGCTTTACAATTTCTTTGCTTACTTGTGTTGGATATGGATCTTATTCTCACTGCTCAGCCTCCTGATTTAGGAGAAAAACAGATGCCAGAGCCTCCCTTTCTTTTCTCCACTGCAGCCTCAATTATGCCAGTGAGTTGAGCCATCTGTAACTTTTCATCCTGCTTATGATGATGGTCCTTGTTTCCGCCTGTCCCCATCACTGCCGTCAGCCTGCCCTGGGTCTCCGCACCTAGGACTTCCCTGCCTGTTTTCCTGTTGTCTCTTTGCAGTCTACAGTAGGGGAGGAGAAATAGTTTCCCCCTACCCTCCTAAGGTGTCAGCCAGGTTTCTTAGAGCAAAAGACAGAGAGCAGGGAGAAAACAGGTATAACAGAGTGTCATGTGGTTGTTCAGAGAGTGACCAAGTTCCAGAACGCTTGCAACAGAAAACAATAAAACCTTAGACCAGTGAACAGGAAAAAGATCGTGAGCTGTGGGGAGGCAAATGTGGAATAATGGTGATGATGTGGTGTGTTGATTCCTCTGGTACTGTAAGACCTGGGGTCTCACAGCTCAGGAGTTCAAGATCACGCCCTTTCCAGAAACTCCCCCAGACCAAGACTCGTTGCAAAAGCAAGAGGTTTATTAACCATTGCACAATGGGGTCACCCCTGCCGGTCAGCAAAGAGTGGCACCGGGAGACAAAGGCCTTTAGGTTTTTAAAAGAAAAATTGCGGGAGATTTGAAGTTGCGGTCTTGGCAATTTAGGATTGGATGAGGAAGCTATAAAGTAAGATAATTGGTTAGTCTTAGGTGCTCAAGCTTGGCCAGTCCTGCCAAGTGTGGATGCAGCTGCAATTGAAGGTGGGGGTGGTTAGCTCATCCTTGAAGATTAGGGGCTACAGACTTTTGGCTGGAGGTCAAAAGCTACTCAGAAGAAGTCTAGGTCTGTTGCTAAGAAACGCTATCTCAAAGACAAGGGTCTGGTCCTTCTTT